TTTTTTTGTTTCAAAACCTATATCCATTTGTCTGCGCACTTTTTTTTGTTTCAAAAACCTATATCCATTTATCTGCGCACTTTTTTTGTTTCAAAAACCTATATCCATTTGTCTGCGCACTTTTTTTTGTTTCAAAACCTATATCCATTTATCTGCGCACTTTTTTTTTTTCCTTTTTGTGTCCATCTGTTGTTCTTTCTGTATTATTATTTCCCACGTGTCCTTATTCCTTGGGTCGCGGGTTCGAATCCCCGTCCCACCAAACATGCTCCCTCTTTCAGCCGTGTGTGTCGGGCGTTATAATGTGACGGTCAATCTCACTATCCGTTGGTAACAGATTAGCCCAAGAGTTGGTGGTGGGTGGTGATGACTAGCTGCCTTCCCTCTAGTCTTTCACTGCTAAATTAGAGACGGCTAACGCAAAAAGCCCTCGTGTAACTTTGGGCGAAATTCATAACAAACCAAACCTTTATTCTTTATATATATATTTTTTATCTGGACCTCTATTTACCTATCTAGATCTATTCATCTGTCTATTGTTTCTACGTATCTATATATTACCTATTTGTGTATCTTGCTTTCTGTTTGCCCCCTCTCTCCGGTGGCTAAGCGTTATTTCTGAAGACTTATACCGCTAAAAAAACCGGGTTTCTATATCCCTTGTGAGCACAGCACATATAACCCATTGTGTTTAAACAAACAAGGAAAACAACCTTCCGATTATTTATTTGTCTGTCTATCTTTTAATACATAACCAATAAGAGCGTTTTAAAACTAAATGAAAGAACAGGTTATTGTGTTACGTTAGAATTTCGCTTCAAACTGACTTTGATACTAATACAATTATTTTTAGGGAAAAAATAAACATCTTACGTTTTTACAGTTATGTCAAACTTATTGAAATCAACCCCTCCTATCTCGAACCGTCATTCCTATCAAGGGATGCCTCCCCAGCGATAAGTCTGAAGACTTGTAACGCTAAAAATCGAGTTTCGATACCTGTGTTGGGCACAGCATAGATAGCCCAGTGTGTCGCTTTGGGCTGAACAATAAAGAAAGCCTATTAATTAAGGGAGGCAGTAAGAACTGGTGATAACAGAAAACGTCTGTTAAACACACTAGGGAGGCAGTAAGAACTGATGATGATAGAAAACGTCCGTTAAACACACTAGGGAAACAGTAAGAACTGATGATAATAGAAAACGCCCGTTAAACACACTAGGGAGGCAGTAAGAACTGATGATAATAGAAAACGCCCGTTAAACACACTAGGGAGGCAGTAAGAACTGATGATAATAGAAAACGTCCGTTAAACACTAGGGAAGGCAGTAATAACTGATGATAACAGAAAACGTTTGTTAAACACACTAGGGAGGCAGTAAGAACTGATGATAACAGAAAACGTTTGTTAAACACACTAGGGGCAGTAATAACTGATGATAACAGAAAACGTCCGTTAAACACACTAGGGAGGTAGTAAGAACTGATGATGATAGAAAACGTTTGTTAAACACACTAGGAAGGCAGTAATAACTGATGATGATAGAAAACGTCCGTTAAACACACTAAATAGAAGTTTTTCTCTCGGCTTCAGCTCATCATGGAAGGAATAACTGGAAACATTCGGCTCAACGAAAGTGGAGTCCGGACAAACTTCACATTGGATCTGATTGAACTCAAACGTGAGGGCTTGAAAAAGGTAAGATTAATTAATTTATTTCTGCTATTTCATTATTAAAGATGTATTCAACTGAACGCAATGTTTTCATCAAATTAACTATCGCCTTGAATCGTTTTTCACTACAACTGAAATCGTCGTACGCCTAGAGCGCCATCTAGTAAGTATCTCTGGCCCAACTGAAACCGTCGTGCGCCTAGAGCGCCATCTAGTGTATATTAAAAAATCAACTCTTTCCGAAAGTTGTAGATGTTTAGAGCCGCAAGCTTTGAGATACTCCTGCCATTCTTGTTTAGTGCAACTCTATTGATACTGTATTAGCGCTTAGAATCTACGATTTCGCGTGTTTGGTTTGACAGAAACGTCGAAATGTTAATGTCCACTCCTGATGAGATCCTATCTTCGAGATGTCGGGAGGACCGTCCATCTCTGTACTTAGCTCGATCTGACCAAGAGTTATTGATGAATTCCAGGTTTTTATTTTATTATTCCCTAAGATTATGTTGTAAACATAATGTCGTAGTGCATAGCAGCTGAAGACTTGAGGTCTAATACCTTCCATTTAAAGGTATAGAAGAATTTTTTTCGAACCTCTGGCATTTAACCATAAGAAACGGTAACTTGAAACCATAAATTCAAGAAGAAGAAAAAAAAAACAACAACGCTGAAATAAAATTCTCTTTCTCCGTGGATATACCAATAAAAAAATAAGTGACGTTCAATGACAATCAAGATCATTAGGGGGAAGAGTTCAGCTGATAATAACAGACGTTTTTCGATACGTTTTTGAAATACAATTGTCCTGTTTGTGCCCCCCCCCCCTAGTGGCACATTGGAATGTCTGCGGACTTGTACCGCTAGGAACAGGGTTTCGATACCCGTAATGGGCAGAGCACTGATAGCCCATTGCGTAGCTTTGCGCTTAACTACAAGCAAACAAATAAACAAGTCCTGTTTGTTTAAATCGGTCTTTCCACAAAGTTGATGTGACGTTTTTAACGTGACAGTGCGCAGACTCTGCACTACCATATTTAAAGTAGGCTTAGGATGAATTATATAGAAGCATATTGTTCCCATACTACATTTCCAGCAGATATAATCTTAACTGTAAAAATTGTCACATTTTAAATGTGTTATTGGTTTTGTCTTTGAAGTATTTTTATGACCTTAACTTACTATAACTGTTGATATATAGTTTTCTCTAACGAGCTAACAATCTCATTCTTGAGCAGCGAACTAAATCTTAGTAAACATCCATAGTTCTAAGATAAAAACAGAAATGCTCGCCATATTACCTTTTTCGTTAAAAGTTAATAGCTGAGGGTGGCCCGGCATGGCCAAGTGGATAAGGCGCTCGACTCGCAATCTAAGGGTCGCGGGTTCGAATCCCCTTCCCACGAAACATGCTCGCTCTTTCAGCCGTGGGGGCGTTATAATGTGACGGTCAATCCCACTATTCGTTGGTAAAAGAGTAGCCCAAGAGTTGGCGGTGGGTGGTGATAACTAGCTGCCTTCCCTCTAGTCTTACATTGCTAAATTAGGGACGGCTAGCGCAGATAGCCCTCGTGTAGCTTTGCGCGAAATTCAAAAACAAACAAGCTGAGGGTGTTAATTATTCAATATTTTCCGGACAGCGCAGATAACCCTCGTGTAACATTTATTGGCGGTGGGTGCTGTTGACTGGCTTCTTTCTCTCTAGTTCTATCGATTCAAAATTAGAGATAGCATAAAGAGCGCGTCTGTAGCTTCGCGCGAAATTCTTAAACAAACAAACTTTGTCTAAAGTATTTGGTCGCTTGAAAAGATCAAACGTACATTTTTTTTATTTCGCATTTACTCCAAAAATCAGTTAAAGTTCCTCTTTAAATTTCACATCCATATTAGGTTAGTTGTCAATTTAATATCGAGTCGGCATCTTTAAGTTTTATGATTATTAACTTTTACGTTGGTCTTCAAAACCGACTTCCCTACTCGGGTGGAAACCTGCGTACACATCGTACTGTGCCATAATTTCAAACTGATAATGAAACAGAATTTTCGCATGTACTTAGTTTATTGTAAAGATTTTTTGACGTTCCAGTAATGCGTTTATTGATTTTCTTTCATTATGACAAATACTTCGTAAGTACCGAAGAAAATACGTTAACAGCTGTTTAAATATTTAATTAAAACGGTGTAAAGAAGGCATTCAGTTACTACATATTTAAACCTACGTTACAATTTCAAAATATGTAAAGTTAATCGTACTATTTGGTCGATGAACGCTAACAAAGCATTATTTTAATCTCTATAAGTTTGAAACATTCTTGTTTTTGTATCTTGTGTTTATGGACAAGTTATCAAGACTATTTGTTGCTGTACCTAATTTTGGATGAAAGGAAATGTGTCTAGTTAGCAGCACCCCCCCTCCCCCCACACACACACAC